TTTTACTCCATGTTTCTCTCATGTCTATTATTTACTGATTTTCATTCCTTACATACTCGGTACATTATTTGTACTGACGTCCCTTTTGCCTGGGGACGCTGCGTTTCATGCCCGCAGGTCTCGATAGACAGGTCGAGAGTCCTAGAAGTAGGCGATCAGCTCAGCGTAAGATGTTGGTGCAATCCATTTGCTCCGGAGTTGCTTGTTTGGTCAGTATGATTTAGATGTGTATTGTTTGGTATGGCAGGGCTCTGTCCCGACCTTTATGACAATTATGTATTCTTAGAGGCTTGTAGACAGATGTCATGTACGTAAAAGATTGTATGGCCTTGTCGGCCTATGTTCAGTGTACGAGTGGTTATTTTGATCTTAGAAGCCCATATGTCTTATGTATAAGTTGGCATTACATGTTGTATTCTACCTATCTCACGGCAGCCTCTCCGGCTCAGTTATCTATGATAGTATGATACGAAAAGATACATTATGTTGGTACTCGGTTGAGTAAGGTACCGGGTGCCCGTCGCGGCCCATCGGTTTGGGTCGTGACACAAATGAAGCAAGGAACTTCAGCCCAATTAGCCTCTTACGTGAACTATCTGTGAGATTATGGCAACACTTCAAGCACAGAGCTATAGGTGTCTAGAACAAGCTGGTATCTAAAACGAAAGCAGATTGATAAACTTTCTTCATTGCTTGTCTATTCCAATTTAAAGTAGGTCACCAAGTTCGGCTTTTGAGGGAAGCTAAATCTTTAAAAAATATAGGAAAAAGGAATCGGTTAGGAGAAAGGATATAGAAAACTTGAGTATAGATTCAAAATCAGAAGCAACTTAAATTTTGAACCCTAATGACCAGAAAAGGAAAAATTTCGAATTCGGTGTCACATAAGTTTGTCCTAAAGATAGGGACATGCCACCATACATGCTCCGTATAGTAGCAGAAATTTGTTTAATGCTGAACTTCAATGAAGAGAAATAGATTTTATTGTCTGCAGGAGCATCATCATTTGGTGGCAGCACAGGCTGGAACTTTGTCGCTTCATATATATCCTGTTAGTACAGAATGTCAACAATGTTAATAATAAATAAAAATGCATTATTAACTATAGCATAACTAACATAAATGCCAACAACAGATGTTATCCAAGTTTTTCTATTTGAAACATCCATTTGTGTTCTACTTAGAAATGCGGCTCTTAAGTTGGATGGACGATCATGCAGATTGTGAGAAGCTGTAGAAATCTGGAATATTTTGTATTTGGAATATCCATTAGTATTTTACTTAGAAATGTGGATTTTAATTTGCATCCTCGATCATATAAAATTGGACAAACGAAGATGCATTGACCTACGGTTGTAAGAGAGTCGTGTGAGAAGCTGTAGAAATCTGGAAATTGTTCTTTGAGGGGTGATTGCCCCAATCTTCATTCATGCTCAGAGGAGGATTTGTTGCAATCACCAACATTCATCTTGATTTTTATATCTAAAATTTCCAAAGTTTATCTGCCCTGATAAGTTGTTCCCCTGAATTCCAAAACTAGAGTTTGTGCACCACCTATTTCCAATTCCATATTTTGTAGTAACAACTGTTTTTCAGAGGGCTATTGCATGTAAATCAAATCTCCAATGTCACTTGAGAAATAAACTTCTGTTGTGTGCTCTCAAGTCCCTGACTTCCATCTCCCTATGCACCATGTTTCTTGTAACAATGTTCCATGTATACAGATGAAATTGTCTCATTCCTCTGTTACCTCTCTAAAGGAGTCATTTCTTGTATGTCCAGTGTTTGTCCATTTTCTTTGGAATTGGAATTATTGACATGGTGTAAATTGGAATTCAGTCTAAAATGCTATTGATCAACACCAATTTGCCACCAAAGATAGGTACTGTCTTTTCCAGTTGGGTAACCTCTTTTCACAGTTGTCCAGGATGATTTGCCAGATTCCATTTGACTTTTACCTTGCTCCCAGTTAGCAACCGAGATAGTTTGCTAGCAAAATATCGATCCTACAGCCTGACGTCTCAGCCAACCTTTGCATCGTTGTACCTTATTGACTGCAAAGATGTTGCTCTTTGCAAAGTTTATATTGAGTCTAGAAAGAGCCCCAACAACTGCGAAATCAATTTTAAATGCATGAGTTGGTTCTCGTCAGCCTGACATAGAATCAGTGTGTCATCCGCATACGTAAAATGTGAGATTGATGAAACATACAAGTTACCATTGCCTGCTTTAAAGCACATTAACCACTTTCCATATGTTACATATTTCAGTACGTCGCCCGGTCTATCTGGTAGGAGATAATTAGATAAAGGATCTCCTTATCTCAATCCTCTCTATGCTAGAAGCAAACCTTCTCTTGAGCCATTTATGATTATAGAGAATTCAACAGTAAATATGCAGAAATATATCCAGTTTGTCTATTCTTCCTTGGTAAAAGGCCACGGAGAAGCTATCCACTCCAGGTGCCTTACACCTGCACATGATTTAAGTATCTCAGCTGCCTCTTCTTCAATAAAAGGTCTTTAGACCCAAAAACTTTCCTCTTCTGATATCCATGGAAGATTTGAAACGTTTAAAGTTGGTCTCCATGTCTCGGGCTCCTTATACAGATTCAGAAAAAAAAAAATGCAGAATGTGCTCTTTGACTACAAGGGTGTCTTCCATGTCCTGCCTTAAGATTTATGTTTGCCAATGGGGTTGTGTATTTTCTGTGAATATTGGGCATCTTCTAAACCGTATCTTAGCCGCAAACACCTTAATTTTTGCCTCCAAGAAATTTCTTTACATTTTTGCCACCTTGCATAACCCATGGCTTAGCTATATTCTTTAAGATAATTCTTCTTTTGTTAATTCTCTACTTACTTCCATTCTATTAAATTCCAATCTTGTTATTTCCATTCTTTTAAGTTCTTTTTCAACATTGTCAACTTTCTAGCTAAAATGAAATTAGGTATGCCATTGATGTGGTAAGAATCCTATCACTGCTTCACTAGATTATGTTCTCAAATTTGAGGTAAGAGCTGCCTCTTTCCTGTTGTCCACATTATAGTAATACTGGACAACGATCATATAAGATCTTGGGGAATATTGATAGTATGATGAATTTGATGTTATTATCCCACTTTGACGAGTACAAGAATCTGTAGTTCCTTGATGCAATATTTGAATTGTTATCCTTCGCGCAAGTGAATCTCCGCCAATGGAGGGGGGTCCACCATTCCTTCTCTTGTCTAAAATCAGTGAACTCCTTCATGTAATTAACGGATCCGGCACTAAGAATCATTTCATTAATGTGTTTGGCAATACTAAAATCCGGACAAACTACTCATAGTCCTCCCAATAATCTCCATATAGCGTCTAGCTTATGTCATAGGCCATCCCCTTTTCTCCATTTTAGGCCATAAACTCTGGATAAAACCCACCAAACTCCCCTTTGTGAACCTCCTCACATTTACAATCTCTTTTCTCTCAAAGTGTGATTGTACCTCCACTCCTACACTCTACTACCACTTCTTCGAATCCCACACATTCGTCAACCCAAAAAAATGAAAATCAAAAATTGCTGCTCCCGTTTTCTGTTTCATGAATGCGATAAACATATTTCTGTTTCTTCAACTTGTGAAACAAATATAATTTACCTTTCATTACTAATCAATTTAATAAAAATAAATTTTATTATATGCAATGCAGATACATGGAAGTAAAGGAAAGGGGAACCATTAAGGCACACCTTGACCACATCATCTGAAATAACACCAGAAAATTGGCTAGAATCATCAGTTCCTCCAGCCCCAAGCATGCCGCGTGATAGCCAATTCAACCATCCACGAGGCTTGTTGGGTAGATGCTCATCTTCCAGAGGTTTAACAGTATTGACACTGTTGCTTACATCACTAGAAGATGAATTCAGCAACATATCCTGTAGACCCAGCAACAAAAAAAAAATTATATTTATGTGTGTGCGCTTATACGTATATAAGGGAGTTTCTGTTCACGAAAAAAGTAGAATAGCAATGCCAAGAGAGTTATTTTAAAAAAAAAAAAAATTGCTGAAACCACCCCCTCCCCCACCCAAAAAAGATTGTACTGCTAATAGATTGTAATNAAGCATATGAAGAACATCCACATCAATCACCTGAGATACAAAGTAAAGACGAACAGTGATCAAAATTCAAGTTCAATGAAACTGTGCAATGGGCATCCCAGAACAGAAGAATTTTTCAGTATTTCCAAAACAATCTATAACCATGAAGTGGCACCAGAAGAGACAAGTGGGGGAAAAAGAAAAGATTATTCTCAGGTTTACACTGTCTGCCCCTAAAACTTTGTGCCAAAATTGAAAAGTCATTAGGTATTCAGCCTAGACCGGTTGTCTTCACACCTGCTGTAATAGATTTCTTCAAGAGGTTTATAAAAGTAGGTTCAAATGATCTTACTCTCTTGCCTTGTTTTCAAAGGAAAAGAGTGTAAACTCAAAATCCATGGTTTCGCCGTAGAACCGTAATTCTCCAAGTTCATTCAGAACCAAAAAAGAAGCGATTTTTTTGCAAAACTTGCTCACCGTGCAAGTTCCAATTATACATCACATTAACATCCATTTTAGTAAAGTCGGTGTAAAAGATGAAAAATTACAAGAAATGATGCAATGTAAAAACAGCATTTATATGGAAATTTTTTGGAAAGGCAAATTATAATTAGCTCAGGTATGCGAAGTAATACCATATAATCAAGTTAAAAACCATTTTAATATTGATTTAGATGTAAAGATGCAATTTTTAATTTCTAATTCATGGACAAGATAGCAATGGCTAGATTCTAGATAGAGATGCTTCCCCACTTCTCTAGCTTCTATCAACTAAGAGCAAGTAATAACAAAGAGGATTTAAAGATAGACCACCATTTCCAACATGATCCGTTTACCGGAAATGACAGCTTATATTCAAAGTGAAACATATCCAATCAAATTATCGTATTTTTATTGTATGGATTCAACAAGATCATATAGGGAGGTCAACAAGATCGTATAGGGAGGTAGCTGCTTGGTCTTTATCTCTCGAAACGAATGTCACCAGACGTGTGTTGGCAAAGAAGTGCTCTTTTTTATTTGAAAGGAGGGGACTGAGAGAAGAATTCATTTTCCAGTTACATGCCTTTGATTGTTGGGTGAGCTCGATGGAAGCTAAGTTGTCTGCATAAAGGTTGACCTGATCAGAAGAAACTCTATTGATCATCGGATTTTCATTAATGTGAAAGTTGATCGAATATTGACTAAGGTGAATAAATGGAAGGGAGATCTTTCCCTAATACTCGGTCACTAGTCCTACGGTACTTGCATATCGGTCTAAAGAGGATTTAGTGTTCGATGGTGAATTTAATCGGGATACTCGTACACTTATGGGTTTATGAGCCTCTTTTTAGCCAAAGAACTTTTGAGGATTACAGATGTTGGCCTAAGTTTAGAAAAACACGTCAAAGATGAAGTTGTTAATCAATCACAATGGCCATTTTTTTAGTGCTATCATTTTCAGAGATGGTAACTTCTGCGATAGTACTTTTCGTTCACAAATAAAAGGATATGAGGTTGCCCTAGGGTTCTGGTTCAATGGCGCGAAATGTATGGTATACGCACATCACGAGTTCGAATCTTGCTCTCAACCAAGTCTTGTATTTAAGTAGAGAAAGGAAGAAGGATGGACCCAGTATACACCTAGTTTCAAAATTGAAAACAGTGAATTCTTGGTTATAAAGAAGCAGGAAAAAGATCCTAAACCTAAACGCTCTCTCCTCTCTGGCAATGCCAATAACTATTTTAAGGAGAATGGCGCCCATGGTTGATCACCAGCCTCCAGTAGGAGAAAAATCACCAAAATAACAGCCTACATATGCTTCTTTACTCAAGCCAACATAATCTACTGCTGCTTGTGCACCGTTGAACTTAATAACCTGTGGCTTTCGTTCATGGAGAACCAACTATCATGCTTGAATATGTAGATTTGGATGCCTACATTCAGGAAGAAAATTTGCAGTATGCTCTTGTTGTTAAGTTTTCTTAAGGGAGACCAAAGATGCATGATCTAAGAAGAGTTTTTCCTCCACAATTTCAGATCAAAAGGGATGGTGACATAGGAGTGGCTCTATAGAGGAGTAGTGAATGGTGGGGTGAGCTCTATAAAACGCAAAACTAAAAGTAGGAGCAATAGTCGATTTCTAAAGAAATTTTCACACGACTTGGTTTAAGTACTCAGAGCACCAAACAAAGTGCCATTCTTTAACTGCCAAAAATCCGAGAAAAACAGGAATAATATGCATAAGTTGGTTCTTTATGTGCAAAAGAGCAAGACAGATTGTCAATCACTACTGCAGCATTGCAAAATGTTTGGGATTAAATGGGAGATGCCGCTAGTTGTTACCAAATGTTTTTCGAATAATATTTTAGGAGGAAAAGAAGAGTATGGCAGGTAATTGAAAAATGTTACCAAAATGCTTTCGGGCAATATTTTAGGAGGAAAGGGAGAGTATGGAAGGCAATTCCACTTGCGCTCATGTGATCTATGTGGAAAGAAAGAAAGAAAGAAAGAAATGGAAGAGCATATCCTTTGACGGATGCGGCGGATTGGCACTAGAAAGATCCACTTGGTAAAAGGATATGAGATGCGGCGGATGGCACTAGAAAGATCCACTTGGTAAATTGGCAGACCATTACAACACCAAGGAAATGGCGTGGACTTGGAGTGGAAGATCTTAGGGGCCGTTTGGTAGCATGTATTAGAGAAAATAATACATGTATTAGCTTTGGTATTATTAATCTTTTGTTTGGTACACTTTTTCAACCTATGTATAACGAATACAAGTATTAGTTATACACCATATTTAGTATTATCTTATGCATAACTAATATATAGCAAATCATGGTATTAGCAATACCAAGACTATTAATACATGCAAAAGCATGGTTAAAGAAAAAATTGCCCTTGAAGTCCCTCAAAGCTAAAGAATGTGGAGGGTATTTTTGTAAACAAAATATTTTTTTAGAAATTATATAATGCATGTCATTTTTAATACACCACACCAAACGATTATAAGAAATAATACCAGCATAACTAATCTTTGCATTACTAGTCCCGCATTACTAACACCTTATTCAGTATTATTCTTATACATCCTACCAAACGACCCCTTAGGGTGTTCAATAGAGCTTTGTTGGGAAAGTGGTTATGGAGATTTGGGGTTGGAGGATCGCGCTTTATGGATGGAGGTTGTAGTAGAGAAGTATGGCTCTATGGAAGGAGGGTGGAGGACAATGCCCATTACAGGTCCTTTTGAGTGTGGTACGTGGAGGAGCATTATGAAGGTTTGGGAAGTCTCCAGTGGCAATGACAGTTTTAGGGCTGGGGATGGAAGGAGAATCAGCTTTTGGAATCATAAGCGGTGTGGGGAGGATGCATTGAGGACTCCATTCCCTCATGTATTCAGAGCTTCGAATCAAAAAGAGTTGATGGTTCACCAGATTCGCAAGGAGCATGAAGGGGAAGTAGCATGGGATCTCACATTCAGATGGAACCTACAAGATTGGGAGATACGGGAGTTCCAAAGTTTGATGGAGTTGCTATACATGCAAACCAGGCCCCAGTCAAATAGTGACTCATGGAGATAGGCGTTGAGGAGTGATGGTTTGTTCACAGTCAAGTCCTTCTACCAGAATTTGTTGGTGGGAGAGAAAGCCTTTTTCCCACACTTACCGATTTGGATTCCTAGAGCACCTAGGAAAGTGTGCCTTTTTGCATAGTTGGCAGTAAGGGGAGCGATTCTGATAGCTGACAATCTGAGGAAGAGAGGTATTACACACATCACTTGGTGCTATATGTGTAAATGCTCGGGGGAAAAAGTTGATCATCTTTTGTTGCACTGTTCTGTGGCGTCGGGATTGTGGAGGGTAATCCTGAACTTTNATATATATATATAGCAGCTGCACAAAGCCTGTGCAACAACCATATTTACAGTGTGCAGAACCAAAGAAGTAGCCTTCTCAAGCCATCAGTTCTCTTTTCAACACTAATAAAGACATCATATAAGTAAGCAACGCATCCAATACACTGTTTATCAGAATAAGTTTTCCAGCCAAAGGAGAAGTATTGGGTCTTCCACCTTGTTAGTATCTTCTCACATCTCTCTATTACCCCATTCCAGATATCTTTTGATTTATTTTAAGCTCCCAATGGCATTCCTAGGCATGTGGTTGGTAGGGAAAATAAGAAACTTTTTAACTTGAACACAAATAGAGCACAATGATATTTTTGTTGGTGAGTAACAACAGTTCTATCAAATGGTTGTGGAAACATATCAGAAGAGTAAGAAATTCTAGTTGACTTTTTTCTCGCCTTCCAAATTCAACTATAGGCTAATTTACTTAGGACCCGTTTGGACATAGATTCCCAAATATTTTATGAAAAAGCTGATTTGGGTGAAGTTTGATTTGAAATTGAAAATGTGTTTGGACATGAATTTTGGGGCAAGTTTTGACATGTTAAAAAGTCGTTTTTTTTTGTTTGTTCAACTAAAAAGTCCCAAATTGTCATGATTTGGCCCAAAAATAGGTCTTAAGCTATATTTGGGATTTGAAGTTTTGGTTTTCAAAATCTCCCAAAAACAAGATTAATTCTAAAAACAAACACATATTTTTGTTTTTGAAAAAAAAAAGGCCAAACGCCTACTTAGTATGGAGGATCCAGGAGAGCATTCTGGGTCCATGCTAACCGTTTCCTCGTCGCCATGAGAGATTTAAGATACATTTCCCATCTTGAAAAATTTCTCCAGTATCCTTTTTCCAGACATTCTCAAGTATTGTTGTATTATTCGTTTCATTAGGGGACACAAGGTTCACAGCTAAGCTCATGTTAATCCTGAATAGTAGAAGAATGAGATTTTTATGTCAGGTGTTGGTCT